ATATATTCAAAAAACTATAAAGTTTATTAGAAACTTCATTAAATGAATTTAATAATATTAAATACAATCTTTATTAAATAATATATTAAATATTATTAAATTCATGTGATTAAGTTTCTAGTTAATTTTTATTATTTTTATGAAATAAAAAAAAATACGTACTCTAATCATAATTTTGAATTGAATTGAGTTATTAATGTCTAGTCATAAAAAACGAGTTATAACGTTTGGGTCAACACGATCCACCATAAGTTTGAGTCAGTTGGGTCAAAAAAAGTTTGACCTATTTTGATTATAAGGAAATGTTAGCTCAACACGCTTACAATTTAGTCTACTACAAACAGCAAGTTGACCCTCTTAGCATACTTCTAATCTTTATTTTTTTGTTCTCAAATGCTAGTTTTTGTAATTATAACATCATTGACTAAATTTTATACATATTATACAAATTATGATAATTAGTGTTAATTTAATATTTTATGCCACTATTTTGAAATTATTTAGTGTTATAAGTTGATAAAGTTAGCACATTCACAGAGTTATAGGGATCAACTTGGGATTTAAGCCAAATAGAATCGAATTGTTCACAAACTTAACTTAAATCAAGAAACAAACTTTGAACTAAATTGATGTTTATCGATAAATATTTTCTATTACAAATTTGGTACCTATAAATTTCAAAATTAGGCAATGTTGGTCTATCCATTAGCTATCATCCAAAAAATTGAAAAAAAAATGTTAATATGTCTATGAATAACAATTAATAGATTATAATTTAATTGTAGAAAAAAATTTAGTATTAAAACTTAATTTTTTTTAATAGATTATAAGTTTTAATTGAAATAAAAAATAAACATAACATATCTATAATAAAAATCAATGTTGTTATTTACATGGAAGTCAATATGCTATGTAATTGATAAATAATGTCTTTAACAATCACGTCAGTATTTTCTATTTATTTTTCTGTTTAATTTTGGTAAATATATTAATGTGTGGATTATAATTATTTAATTTTAAAAATTAGGGGGACAAAATTTTAAAAAAAGGATTGGTGACTAAAATTTCACATTCATAAAATTATAGGACCAAAAGTGAATTAAACCAAATAGGAATCAAATTGTTCCCAAACTTGAAGCAGATGAAGGTTGAGCTAGTTGGAAAAAAAAATGAACTCAAAATGAACTTTGAACTAAATTGTTGCTTATCGAGTCAAGTCATGAAAAAAAAAAAGTTTCCTTTAGCTTATTTTCCTAAGTTATTTTAAATTTACATGTGGTGCAAGCTATACAAAGGCATATAAAGTCAACTACATCAAAACATTTTTTGTATAGAGTAAATAATTACCTATTGGATTCTTAAAAATTAATGATTAAAAAAATTATTTCTTCCAAAAAAAAATTATAGCATTGAGAATGTGAATGAAAAATAATTAGGAAAAAAAATCCAACTAAAGATATACATGTATTTACCCCAAATGTTGAATTTGGTATATTATATGTATATGAACTGTCATTGTAAGCATACCATGTAAGGCTTTATAATGAGATTTGTACAAGCACTTATTCTAAAAATAAAAATTCAATGCATAAAAAACACTTGCTAGTAAGTTGGTAAAGGCGTGTTTGCTTTGCTAAAGCAAACTCTGAGTGTGCCTAGAGCCTTCAAAGTGGGCCGGGATTCGTGGGTCAATCCGGTCCACCTTGAAAACGGGCGGGGTCGAGCAAAAAAAAATTAAAATTTTATAGTAGGTAGGTATATTTCAACCCGGCTCACTTTGACCCGGCTCCACCCGGGCTAAACCCGTGGTGGGCCGGGTAGCCCACCAACCCACAATTTTTTTTTACAATAAAAGTTTAAGAGTGATTTGTAGTTAATTTTGTATGATGGGATATTGAAAATTTTTATTTTAGACTTTTATCATGATTTGTATTTAATTTTGTATGATGAATTATGACTTATGACTATTAATGATGTTAATTTTATGACTATTATGTTAATTTATAATTAATTTTAAATTTTGAATTTTGTTGATAATTTTTTTTTAATTTTTTGTGGGCTGGTGGGCTAGCTCATATAACCCACCAACCTGTGGTGGGCCAGGTCGGGCTAAATTTTTTTTGAAAAAATTAAAAGTAGACCGGGTTGAATTGGCTCATTTTTAAAATGAGTCAAGGTAGGCCGGTCCATATAGGCCGGACCGGCCCATTTTGACAGCTATAAGTGTGCCTATAAAATGATGAGCCTAACCCTTCCACTAAGGCACACCTCATATTCATATTTCACATCATATAAGATAACATAACCTATAATCCATGGATTCAAAAAAAGTGTCAAACACGAATATTGTTGTGAAGAAGACCAAGGGTCGACAAAAGATCGAGCTGAAAAGGATAACCAACGAGCGGAACCTTCAGGTGACATTCTCAAAGCGCCGCAATGGGATTTTTAAGAAAGCAAGCGAGCTTGCAACTCTTTGCGGCGTGGACCTTGCTGTCATAATTTTTTCTCCTGGTCAGAGGGTTTTCTCTTTTGGCACCCCCAGTGTGGACTCTGTCATCCAACGCTATATGGGCCAGGCTCCACCTCCCCTCCTTAACTTGGACCTCAATGAGGCCCACCTCAACGCAGACGAGCGTGAGCTCCACGCACACCTTGGATACCTATCCAACCAGTTTATTGCAGAGAAGAAACGTGAAAAGGAACTCAATCGTTTGTTGAAGACCGCGGAGAATAACTATTGGTGGGCCACACCAGTTGATAACATGAACAAAACCCAACTTGAGAAGTTCAAGACTGCGTTGCTGGATTTGAAGACAAATATTAATCTGAAAAAACAGAAGCTCCTCAATGAGAGCACTTATAACTGTCCGTGTTTTTTTGCTGCAAGTGCAGGCTCGTCTTCTAATGTTAATGACATTGGGACTGTGCATCCACCACCATTGTTGAGGAACCGTGTGATTGATGATAGCGTCACGTGCCACCATCAATTTAACAACATGGACAAAGATGGAGAGGGAGAAGGACATGGACCTACTTTTAGGTTCTTTTGATTGTCTTAGAAGAGATCCTTTGTCGAAGATGCCATATTAAATTGTAAGTTTTTGTTGTTTAATTTTCATTCAAAGTGAGCACTGGCTTAATTGGTCTCATGTGTGCGGCATGGTTAGGATTGATTAACTGGGGGTTCAAGTTTTTGTTGTTTTGAGTAATCTTCATCTTATGATGGTGAATTTTTGTTTTCTTTAGGTTGTTACTGTGTTTTGTTATTGGGGATTATAGCGTTGCATGTAGTTCTATATCTGTTTGAATAAAAAGGCATCTTATTTATTTATATATCTAATTCTCTTCAAAATTGCAATCTTTTGGATTTCAAACAATTTGCCTAGTTCCTTTGTTTAAGTTAATGGGAAATTTGAATGTCAAAAACTACTCCAAAATTACTAAATGATGCATGTGAACTTTTATTATGATACAATATGGAAGATTGTGGATTGGGTTAATATGTATCAAAAGGAATATTGTACAAGAGATTCAAATTCATTAGACTCGTTTTTTTTCTATATTATCACTTGGGCTTATGCTTATCAAGTTTCTAAGGAATAATTTTTTTTTTTTTATCATTCTTCTCTCTCATTTTCTTCATATATGGATTGACACTGTTTAGACTTTTATTTTATTGACCCACTATCTTAGATGTCATATAACTTGTACTAATATTTGCACTTTTTTTCTCAACACATGGTGTTGATGTGAAGGGCGGACCTTAGACATGACTTGGGGGAGTACTCTCCCAAACTTTTCTAATTTATATATATATTAATATTATATTTGTATATTATCATATTATTAATTGTAATAAAACTAAAAAAATTGAATACAAAAAATGAAAAATTATGTTGTATTTTTATTTAATAAAAAATTAATTTAAATAAAAAATTAATTTGATATCTCTAAATTTTTTATTAAAGTTTCGCCGGTGATTGATGTGGCAAAGAAATTTGTAGTTTTGTAATTAATTAAAAAACAATGTTCATAGAACCAGTTTGAACCCAACACCAAAAGCCTTAAACCAACATACGAAGCACTAGATCTAAATTTTTTTAAATTGTTATAAAAATATATTATATAATGTTAATGTGGAGACCAAAATTGCATGTATATTTACCGAGGCTGTATTACTTTTGTAGTCGCACTTTTTATTTAATTGGTTCATTCCAATCCCTTTATTATTAAAAGGTTAGATTTGATCTCTTAATTTTTAAAAATGATGCAATGTTGTCTTTTTCTTGTTTTTTTTTTTGTCCAATTTAGTTTAACGACGTTACTTCTTTGTTCATGTGGCCCCACATGTCAATTTTTTTTTACTTATTGTGTCAAGTGTAGACAAAACGTCAACATCATTAGTCAAAATTGGATAGGAAGAATAGCAATAAATGGTTTTTAAAAATTATGGTACCGAAAAAAAGAGACTAGAAGACCAGGGATGATAAAGTGGGCTATGGCCTACGGGCCGGTTCGTTGGCCCGTCAAAAATTGGCGGGTCGAGCCCATTATTTTAACCTGTCAACCTGCTAAGCCTGTTAACCTGTCGGGTCAAATAGCAGGTCGACCCTCCACAACCTGCCGGCCTGCATATATATTTTTTTAAATTTAATTATTTTTATGTTTATTTTATTTTGATGTAGAAGAATGAGGATGAAGATGATCAAGAAAAAAAGTAGAGACATCTTCTAAGAGAGCTTCTAATATTCTTAAAATAAAAATTTAAAGTTAATTAATTGTATTTAAACTTGTTTTGTGAACTATCAAAAAATTTAGTTGTGTAAGTTTATAATTTGATTTTAATTTTGGTGTAAATGGACTAATTTCTATTTGATTCTGTTCTAAGTTTGTAATTTTTTTTTATTGAACATATATTATGTACAATATGTATGCATTTTTAATTTCATATGGTTATATTTATTTATTTGTAGCAAATTTTTTTTATTTGAACATCAAATATATTTTTTTTTCTATTTATTTTTATTTTTATTTTTATTTTTGTATGCGGGCTAGCCCGCCAACCCGCCAGCCCGTCCTTAGGCGGGGCGGGCTAGCATCTCCAGCCCGTTTTACGTTGGCGGCCCAGCCCCGACCCGGCTCGTTTTTGGCCGGCCAATGACAGGGCGGGCCAAAACGGGGCGGGCTGGCCCGTTTTGCCATCCCTATAAAAGACTAATTTAATTTATTTACTAATGTTAAATAATATACAATAATACAATAAAATCAAATAAATAATAATAGTTTTTAATACGATAAATGCGTAATATAAATGTGCAGATTTTTCTATATAGATATATAATGGAAAAATGAAAATAAATATTTAGATAATGATAAATTCTAAATTAATTATATTTTGCATCTAATAGTAAAATTGGTGACAATATATATTAGAGAATGAATCTTTCATTCGTTGTGTAAATTTCTTCACTATTTATATTATAATTATTTAATGATTGATTTAGTTAAAGAACATATTTAAAATGAATATTTTTCCACCAATAAAAAAAATAATTTTTGGTTAAATAATAATTGAATTTATCAATTATTATATTATTAAATTAAATTTATTGTGTATCATTAATATTTTTAGGATAATAATTATTTACTTCTTTGGTATATTGTATTTTTTTTATGTTGATTTATGATTTGTCCCTTTAAAAAAAGTTTCTATTGGGTTTTAATAGATTTCTTATCATCTTTGGTGTTATATGCATTGTGAGTTAAGCTTGAATAATACAATAAAAAAAAATTAATTAATCTCTTAAATATTGTTTTAAAACTCATACATGATGGAAAACTTGTTGAAGAATCGGATTGATGTTGGTTTTGCCTTCAAGTTCTTCCCTAGACTTTTGGTTTTGTGGATCTTCTCAAGCTTCTCCAAAGCCTCCTAAGTGAGAAAAGGCTTCGATTTTTCACTTAAAGAGATGAAGAACACTCTTCAAGTGATGCCACTTCTTGGAAGAAGATGAATCACTTCAAAACTCACCACACTCTTGTATGAAAAGGATAAGATAAACAACTGTGTTAGAGAAGCCAAGCATAGTTCCAGCCAAGTGAGTGAGAAAGGCGGCCTTGCTTGTTTTCCTTCACTTAATCCAATCCAAAATGTTGGAATTGGTTTATTTAGGTTCACCTAATGAAGGTGAGACCTAACTAGATCAATTCCTTGGATTAAATGGAGCAAAACAAGCCTAATATGCAAAAATTAGCCTAGGCCCACTGAAGGCCCAATTGCTAGCTTCACCTACACACTTTACTATTTGTCACCCCACTTCTACTACTAAAAATATGAAAATCGATGACCCTTAATACAAGGTTAATTGGAGCAAAAATCTCTAAGTAACATACCCTAAAATCCTAAAGGGATGACCTATAAGAAAAGAAAAAGGTTTCTTACAAATACAAAGACAAAAATGCACATATACAAATATCTACTATATATAAAGTACAAGAACTCAAACTATACAAGGTATGTACAATAGAGATTATGAGACTAAAAAGAGGAATCAAACTCGATGCTCATACAAAGCATAGGTCTAAGAAGCACCTCCTTTATAGAAACCTCTTCTAGCCTTCTAACCATGGTCCTTGTTAAAGGTCCAATGACCTTCAAATGTGAGCTTCCTATGGATCAACCTTTACCCTTCTTGATCTTATCTCTTTCAAAGGGATCCTTAGGGATTAGATTTCCATCATACCCTCCCCCCTTGAAAGGATTTGTCCTCAAATCTGGTGGTCCTTCCACAAAGATAGCAACGCCTACAGGGAAAACAAGAAACAAAGCATTAAGGATGATATATTCATATAATATATATGGAAAGTGCAACCTTTAAGGAATTCCTTTTATAGTCCTAACAAGGGTCCCTAGACTAGGAAGGATGAATTCTCTAAAAATAAGAATAGGATCCTCACTACAGTGTAGTCTAAGTGTAAAACTAAATCCTAGAAATGTGAAAGTACTACAACTATAAGAAACTAATGAAGTACTCCTACATACTAAGGTAACTTGCCTGAAGTACCCTATGTAGTAACCTATGAGCCTACAAGAAAAAAAAAAGTGAATATATTAAGGAAACTACCTAGACAACCCTTGATCATATTATTTGTTAAATACAACATGGAAGATGGTGTAAAAACGAGTTTAGAAGAGTCATATAATCTAATTTGGTCTTGAAGGGAAGTAGTCAAGTTAAGTTGAAAGAAGTTTGAACTTTCTTTAGGATCAAAAATAGAAAAGAAGACACCATGAGATGTATCTAATAAAAAATATAAACCAAAGGTTGGGTGCTTTACTAGAACAAATAAAGTAGAAGAAGTCATAAATAGATAATGGTTGTCTACTTTGGGCACCACCAAAGTAGTAGCATAAGAAGTAGAACTAGGTCAAGTCCACTTCTTACTAAATAGAATAAGACACTGAGATCCTTTCTTTAAAAAAATATTTTGGTTGTGGATCTTAAGCTCTAAGTCTATGGTAGTAGTAGAAAAAGAGCTAAAATCTTTATGAAGAGAAAAGTCTTTTTACAATCATTTTTAATAGAAAAATGACTTTCCTTTATCACAAGATTTTTGGAGGAGACACTACCCTCCTTACTATTTTCTAAGAGTAGTGTCTTTTTAGTATTAAGAAGGTAAGGAGGTTATTCAACTAGAAGATATTTTTTAATAGAATATTTTATTGAAAATTGACTTCTAGGAACAACTTCCTTCGAGGAGACATTATCCTCCAACTCTATAACCTTTTCTTTCTCCTCTTTTCTTTTTTTGATTTCGTTTCTTTTATTTTTCTTCATCTAATAATTCTTTTCTTCATAAACACTTGATCCTCCAACACTTGTGAAGGTGAAAGAGGAGTCAAGGTGTGTTTCTTGCCTACGTGGACTAGGAAAATTTTGTTTGTAACACCATCATGGATGGCTTTCCTATCAAATTGCCAAGGTCTACCAAGTAATATGTGGCTTGCATCCATTGGAATAATATCACATAAAACTTCATCTTTGTATTTTCCAATGGAGAAAGGAACATTTACTTGGTCTTTAACTTCTATAGGTCCATCCTCATTAAGCTATTGAAGTTTATAAGATTTTGGATGGGTTGTAGTAGTTATATTAAGCTTATCAACCAACCTTTGGCTTACAAATTTAAGTTATTAAAAGCTTCACTATCAACAATGAGAGAACAAATTTTCTTAAAAATTTTACATCTAAAATGAAAAAGGTTCACTTTTTGTTATTGATCTTGTTCATTAGTTTGGTTGGTAAGTAACCTTTGGACAACTAGTAGGTCAC